ACTGTCTGTTTTATTTTGCTTCTAAATTACCCCCTGTGTGCAAGGAATGGCCGGGGTTACCATCCACTGGTGGCGAGGGATTTGAACACAGGTCAGCAAGATTGCTAGATGAGATCGCTACCCCTGCACCACAGAGAGACACAGAGAGAAAATATATATATATAAAGTGTGTATGAGAGAGAAAGAGAAAGAGAGAGAAAAGAGAGAGAGAGAGAGAGAGAGAGAGAGAGAGAGAGAGAGAGAGAGAGAGAGAGAGAGAGAGAGAGAGAGAGAGAGAGAGAGAGAGAGAGAGAGAGAGAGAGAGAGAGAGAGATTAAATCTATTTACAGAACAGCGTACTTGCCTTACAAAAAGCAAGGGTAAGATACCAAAGCATGTATATAAATGGGCTGTGCCAATGTCCTTTCTTTATTCAAATATTATCTGGTATGTGAGAACCATTTATATCATTAATTATATCAAAGACAGGACCAGTGTCTATAATACAATTAACATCATCAATAAGCTATTCTCTAGAGTATACTCTTTTTTCAATAGGATGAAGTTTTCGCAGAGCAAAGTAAATAATGGGTAAGATTATTTGATTGGGGTGCCTTGCAGGTTTTGAAGTGGTCATACAAAACTGATTTGTCCCAGGGTAGTGTCACCTGCTATCTCTGATACATTCTATTATAGACTTTGTAGGGTTTGTCTATATCTAATGTCTAATGTCTATAATGCCTGATGGTACCATGTCCACTTTTCTTCTGCTCTACATCTGTCCATCCCTGGGCCTCATAACTTTGAAGACAGCTATTAACACATTTTTTATTTGATTAAGAGATAATCATTTTACTAAGTATGGTTCTTCATGGGAAAGTACTAGTGTGGCTAATTGGTCAACTTGTCACAAGTTGATATTCTTATATGACAGGGTATCCAGTATAGTAACACCTGCATACCCTGATTTGACAGTCTACAAACTTGGTGAAGGATATTTTTAGTTATCATTTTTTCTGGACTAAATGCAGCGAGTCTATTCAATGTACCCTGGATATCAGTAAAGATAATAGCATGGTATATGGCATATCCCTGCTGTTTCATGAGGATTAGTGGATGTGTCACATTGCAAGTGGGGGTGTAATATGAGGGGATAGAGAATTTCAACTATATATTTCAAGTAATGAGTTTGTCGTTCTGTTATTGAGGTCATGGATTTAGGTCCAATTAATTTGTCAATATGAACATAAACATGAGTTTTGTATTAAGGCGCAACAGACACTGTTTCTGGGATGTTCATAGCACTAATGTTCCACACACTGAAGAATCAGTTTCACACATTACACGATGGAGCTGAAAATAAATCAGAAAGTTTTATCAGGGTCTTTGTTAAGATAACATACATGGCTGCCTCTGGAGGACGGAGGCCAATGTTTGGCAGGCTTTTGGGGTGGAGTTGGGTAACGGTAATGCCAACTTGTTGACAGAGGGTTTTGTCAAAATGATCAAGGCTGGTATGAGCATTGACACTACAAAGGCAATCCATTTAATAAACTCATGATATATTGTAGCAAGATGGTATCAAAAGTATGCCTGTGATGGGCTTCTTTTGCAAAATGGAAGGGTTATACTTAATGTCCAATGATCACAGACTAAGAATAGGATGACTTTGCAGTGCTTGATAGTTTGTGTTGGTTATATAGAGCTATATAATCTAGTTTGCCACATATACAAAGAGTTTTTCCAAGGGACATAACAGTTGTACAGTATAACTCTAAACCTTGCTATGTATCATACTGTCAGATGGTTTAGCTACCACTTCACTATCATGCCTAGTCTTCTTGTAGTCTTCTTTAGTCAGTCAAAATATGTATATCCCACAATTTTTGCATCATGAGCACTGGTCCTGACTTCCTGAAGGCAATAACTGTCAACATCTTCATAGTGATATTGAGAGAGTTGCCTTGCATTTCTGTGAACCACTAATGTTCCCAGGAATATATTACAGGAGATTACTTGGAGCTAATTTGACCATTTCCAAGACTCATTACAGGTTGAGGCTGCCATTACTCGAGGAGGGATGTAAACACCCTTTTTTGGAATTAGAATTGGTGAACCATCTGATGCTGCATCATGAATATCATCTGTTCCATCTGCTTGAGAAGTATCCTTTACTTCTCTGTTGGACTCTGTTGCTGGGGTTGATGTGGTTTTGATTCCTGTTGGTGCTGCTGTTGTGGATGGCGCCTTGGCTTTCTTTGCAGAGGCAAATCACTGGAGGAGCAGGAATTCCCTCACATCATTAAGGCAAAGGACTGGGATGGATTTCTTTGGGGAAGAGGTTGCTTGTCTTCTTCTTTCTTACTGTTTATTTTCCAATCCTCTGAATAGGTATACACACAATGGGGAATCACCATTGTGCTCTTGATAGCAGTTCACTCATTTCTGAAGAATATTTTCACCTCTTCACTGTTCTTACTTTGCATCACTTTTAATCCTAATGATTATGTGAACATTAAATTTCCAGTTGGCAGCAAGTCTATGAAGACATACTTCCACATATTTTAAAAGTATCTGTCTATCTAAATATAAGTACATACATATAAATCAGCTGTAATAAATAAATATTATATATTATTTCTTACTAAAAGAGTAAACTATACATCCAAACTTCTTTCCACTGTAAAAACATTAATTAGACAATGTGTTTTGTTTTTTTTCTTTTCAAACTCTAGCTGCAATAAATACCGAATATCAATTAATCATCCAAATGAAGCAAACTATAAAATCGAAAATAATGCAGAAGAAAATCCAATTATATGTAATTAAATATCAAAGACCAAAGCAAACTTGCAGTACCCACTGCAAGAACAAGTTGCTGGCAATTACCCACACATTATACCAACAATGTCTGAACTTTAGATATCTATTATTACTGATCAAGGTACCACTTCTTGCATAGGTAGCTTGATTTTGTACAGTCAGCAAAGAAAAACAAGAAATGGGGAACAACAAATTATCAAAATGGAAAGGGGGCCAAAAACATAATTTAGTCAAAGAACAGACAACCTTAAGAAAGCCACTGGTTTCATATCAGGCCTAACTGTGGAACTGTGATTTTCATGAACTGTAATAGTGATTATCTGGATATGCAGATATAAGCAACTGGAGAAACTTCCCTGCATAAAGTCATTCACAAGTGTCTGATATACCTATAGGCATTATAAGTATTACTAGACATTTTAGCTAATCATTCATCAGAATATCTCATTTTACAGACTGTTATGGTGCTTCAGCCCTACTTGAATGGGTAACAACCACCCAAATGCTAGATTAGTCAGTATGAATGTGAGTGGCCAAACTGCTGGTCCACAACCCATACAGTTAGTAAATTGCTCTGGTACTAAAAGTGGAGAATGAGAGTGGAAACTTGAGGGGTTTCATAGATAAACATGAAGAACTACCATCATATGTAAATTATCATTAGCAATATACTAAAACAGTATTTTAACAGTATATTAAAACAGTTGGTTTGTTGTTAACTCAGTGAAGAGATGGGGTAGGAGTATCATAAAAAAATTGGATAATATAGAGATGGAAAACAAATCCCAAGAACACAATGATGAAGAGAAAAAATAAGACAAACTACAGGCTATATAAAAGGATCAGAGAGAAGACAAGAAGGTGTACTTTTTAAAATCTATAACATACTAGAGTTAATGATGGTAATGGTAATGATTTTCACATTGCCAAGAGATAACTAAACTCATATCAGTCATAACTTTCAGTCACAAAAATTGGACAGAAAAAGGTACACTTGGAAAAAATATGGTTTGTATTTAGGAAGAAAGAAAAAAAATACACAGGATTTTATGAACAGTATAAGAGGTGAGGAGGACTGACCATACACACACAAAAAAAGAACTGAAACACAATCTGGAAACATTTACTTCATGTACCAAAAAATGATTAGTGCTATAAATTGTATACCTAACAATGATTATAAATAACTATAACCATTAACATGATACATACAATACTTGAAAAGTAAAAACATACTCTAGATCTCACTTTACACACATATATTACATATACACACACGATAATCAACTCTTCACCAATTTTTCATATTGATATGCAATCTGGAACATCTATCTCATCCTCAAAGCACAGCTTTCCACCCACTGCTACTAAACAAAAAGAAGGAAAAGACAATTTAGTACACAACTTACATCCATTCTAATAACCCTTACACCAAAGTATACAAAGGGACTAACCTTAAAGGAATGAAAGATGGCAAAGTGAGTTCTCCTCTGACGTGTCCGACAGATGATATTCTGCGGCACTCGGGACTTGGAGTCACTGTTGGCTTCCCGTCTGTATCGATAGTCCTGCAAATTCCATGATTGATACAATTTACATGTACACATTTGTTTGTTCTGTTTCATTATTATATCTTTCTTTATTCTTGCAGGAGATGAGAACTTTTGGCTCATTTAAAGATGTATTACCTTGACAAAAATGTTAAATAAATAATATGATGTGCATCCAAATAAACACAAATTCACATTGAGTGCAAGGAAAAGGAAACAAATAACCATAAACATACAACCCTTTTCTAATCACAAAGCCATATACAGGTATTCATCATGAATTGACATATAAGAAGAAGAAAAAGAAGAAGAAAGAGAAGAAGGTAAAAGCAGGAGAGGAGGAAGGAGAAGAAGAAGGAGAGGAAGGAGATGAAGGAGGGAAAGAAGGAAGAGGAAAGGAAGAAAGGAGGGGAGACCAAGAAGAGGAAACCCACTTGTGGAGCATCCATGCGCGTGAAAGCCGCTGGGGGTAGAAACAAGGGCGCAGGACGGTTAAGCCAGTCGGCCTTTTCCATCCCCTGAGGGACAAGCTGGTCATAGACACACTCCTGGGCAAGGCTGTCTTCTGTGTTGACTACAGGAACATACTGAAAGTCGCACAGATCTGTCGGTGAGGGGAGCAGAAGAGTGTGGGATTACTGGCTCAGG